CAGGTGAATTCATCATATTTCTCATATCTTGTTCGAGACTGGTTCCAAAATGATTATTTCCGAAAGGATTTGTCGCCGTCCCATTAACGTTTCTTTGAGTTGATGTAGTCGGTGTCACATTTGCTGCTTGTTCAGCTGCACGGTTAGCTGCTCCCCGAACAACATGTATCGTATGTCCTTCTTTTACACCTATGGAGTGAATGTACACAAAGAAAATGAGACAAAATGCGAAGCTACTTATTGTAAACAAGTTGACATTCTAGCCAAAGTTTCTAGATCAATAATCACATTGATAACACCCAGATCGCAAGAACGATAGTCGTTCACATGCAGAACCAGTCGCTGACTACAGTTCTTGATCTTTGAGACTTGATACGTCGAGGCGTATACCTCCTACTCACCGTATAGGTCTACCATATCCTCATCCTTCAACACCCTTCCGGAGTAAACGAGACGCATATTATCTGCAGGTATAGAAATTTGCGTGACAAGCCTCTCTTTTAGTTGTTGAACAGTCAACTGTCCAGGATCAAAGCACATATCGAAAGCATCGCCATTAGAAGAACGAAATTTGACATTGATTGATCGTTCGGTTAAAGTGTCTTCCATAGTAAAAAATGAACTTTTATAATAAGTCTCCAAGCGTTACTTTTGCTCCAGTAAAAGACCGATAGAAAGGATTAGGCTTGGACAGGGGAGGGTGAACTATTGCAGATAAGACATCTAATGTGAGGCTCAACTGTAAGTTAGCAAAGGTGCTATTTTTGCTTACGTATATTAATTGTGTACAAAGATATCACAAAGATCACACTTATTGTGATATAAGTTGACAGAATTAGTATAACGATAACGGTTTTCTGTTCTATATCGATATAAAAAAATTTTTTATGTGCTATAAAATTCACTGGATTACGCTATCGCTATTAAGTAAAAAATGGCCTCCAATCGTTAACTCAAGCCCTAATCTAATTCTAAAAAAAAATTGTTAAGTTCATGTATTTTTTTTATAATATTTTTGGTCTTACTTTCAATTATTAAAAATAAAAATTAGCCATATTGCTATTATATATATAGTATATATATATATATTTTTTTTAAAAAAAATTCAGCAATTTTGCCAATACTTTATTAGGTATAAAACTCACATATCTATTTCATATCTATTTCATGAGTGAGCTAACTTTAACACTGGGCTAAACATGTTACTTTTAAAATTACAAGTATTGACTCACCTGGCTTTTTGTAACAAGAGTCTTATATGACAAAAGTCCAAATTACCCATGTGTGATCTGCTATAGTAAAATTTTTTCTTTATACTAAACCCTTCTACTAACAAAGAAATCTAATATATTACTAAGCAGCATTTATGGTCATCAGGATTACCTCCTCTTTTTAAACTCTAAATCTTCTCCTTCTAACTTTTTGAGTAGAAAAGAAACCTTCTAACTACTCAATAAAAAAACTTAAAATCAAAGAAAAAAAGAGAAGTTTAAAACCAAAAAAGAGGAAATACCAAAATGAATATCACAAAAAAATTATATAAAAACCTTAAAAAGAAAGAAAAAAAAAAATACAAGATAAAAAAAGAAAAAACAAAAATGACAGAAGCACTATTATAACCCATGCCAGGTTAAAAAAATATTATACATGTAACTTCGAGATAACATACTGTAAAATCTCGAAATAGCAGGCATGGGCGTTATTTCGAAACTTAGTCTGAATTAAGCTTAATTTGGGCTAAGTTTTGAAATAATGCCCATGAGTAGGGCAAAAAGGGGAGTTCTGGCACACTTTTTCGGTACCCTGGGTACTAAAATATTCATTTTGAATTTAGATCGCTCAAGAAGTCTATATTCTATAAAAACTCTTTAGTACCTATATAAAAACCTGGGTACCATAAATTATA